GCGAGTAGACTTGGCTTAGAGTTGTTGAGGAGTGCAGTCGATAGTTCCCCACCGAGTGCAAGTAGATACATTACATAATACTGCAACACGACACACTGGGAGGTTTCTCATTTACCCGACCGATGGATAGGTCTTGGAGAGTCATCGAACTCAGTTCTAAGAGACCTAGAATCAGACCCAAGGACCTACAACGAGGCACTCCAAGATAAAGATGCAGATTCATGAAATGTTGCAATGAAAGCTGAAATTGGGTCAATGGACTCCAATCAGGTCTGGGATCTTGTAGAACCAACCGATGGGGTACGACCCATTGGATGCAAGTGGGTCTATAAGAGAAAGAGAGGATCAGATGGGAAGGTGAAAACCTTCAAAGCTAGGCTTGTTGCGAAAAGTTATACCCAGAAAGAGAGTATTGATTACGATGTGACCTTTTCGCCAGTAGCTATGCTTAAGTCCATTCGGATTCTATTGCTGTAGCCGCTCATATGGATTATGAGGTCTGGCAGATGGATGTCAGGACGACTTTCCTTAACGGGAACCTTTAGGAGGACATCTATATGCAACAAACAGAAGGATTCATTGATAAGGGGCATGAGCATATAGTGTGTAAGCTTAATCGGTCTATTTATGGACTGAAGTAAGCTTCGAGATCTTGGAACATCCGATTCCATGAGCTGATCCAGTCGTACAGGTTCACTCAATTTCCGGATGAGCATTGTGTGTACAAGAAAATCAGTGGGAGCGTGGTGGTGTTTCTTGTGCTTTACGTAGATGACATACTTCTCATTGAAAACAGTAAGAACGAGTTATTAGACGTAAAGGTGTGGTTGTCTAAGCAGTTTGATATGAAAGACTTAAGTGAAGCAGGACACATTCTTGGTATTAGGGTAATTCGTGACTGTAAGAAGAGAATGTTGTGCCTATCCCAGTCTACATACATAATACTGTCTTAGCCAGATTCAGCATGCAGGATTCCAAGAAGGGTATGTTACCTTTCAGACATGGAATAGGTCTATCCAAGGAGATGTCTTCTAAGACATCTCAAGAGATAGAAGACATGAAGACAGTTTCTTATGCTACGGCAGTAGGAAGTCTTATGTATGCTATGCTTTGTATAAGGCCGATATTAACTATGTCATTGGCATGGTAGCTAGATATCAAAGTAATTCAGGACGGGAACATTGGTCTGCTGTGAAACATATACTGAAGTACCTAGAGAGGACGAATGAGTACATGTTAGTTTACTGTGCAGACAGCTTGTTACCTCTGAGTTACAGCGATTCCGATTTCCAGCTAGACAGGGACGGGAGTAAGTCAACCTCAGGTTATGTGTTTACCTTGGGAGGTGGAGCCATTTCATGAAGGAGTGCTAAGCATAAATGCATGGTAGACTCCACCATGGAAGCCAAGTACATCGCAGCCTCTGAGGTAGCAAAAAGAGGTAGTTTGGCTCAGAAACATCTTAGTGGTTTTAGAGGTGATTCTGAGTTTGCCACGTTGTATCACCGTGTACTGTGATAACAGTGGAGCAGCAGCGAACTCAAGGGAACTATGATCCCATAGAGCAAGCAAACACATAGAGCGCAAATACCATCTGATACGAGATATCGTCAGTAGAGGAGAAGTTGATGTTGCCAAGATTGCATCAGAGAGCAACCTAGCTGATCCTTTCACGAAGAGTTTGCCGGGGAAGGTATTCGTCAAACACGTGGAAGGAATGGGAGTCGGGTGCATGGCGATAGGATCGACACAGGTCTTTTAGAATAACGGATTGATAGGACTATACTTGTAAAAACGAAAGCTTTAAGTATAAGTGGGAGATAGTTAGTGATATATACTGAAAGCTTGGCTTTGGATGATATTACACTTTTGCCCTTTATGAATGAGAATCATGTTTGATAAAACAAGTTCTATGTTCTGTTGTTTTGACTTAGATAGAATGGATCGTCATCGGGCGAACAGAAGATCATTCTATCAGTTACTTGCGAAACAAGAATCGTGGTTCACAACCTAGATGGAAATGAACAGCCCAACCGAACGGTTGTAGTGTCAACAGTACAGTTGGTCTTGACTGATTAGTTGCACTAGTACATTTATGTATTTAACAGGATCCCAGAGAGGAGAAGTTCGTTTTATATTGATCGTCGTAAACGAACTAGGCCTAGGTTAATTACTGCATTCTCTTAACCCGTAAGATATTAAACAAACATATATATACAGTACATATTACTTTGATTCACTTGTGTGAGGTTCGGTTCGTTGGATTAACATTCCTATTATCTTGGGCAATATTGTTGTATGTATGATGTGCTGTTAGGATATTTACAGTCACCATGTGCGTTAGTTTGATGATGTCCCTGAAGTGAGTACATAAAGGATTGTTATGCTAAACCCTGCAGGTGGATTAAGTTCTGGCATAATAATAATGTGATGAACGAGCGCTAGCTTCAGTGAAATAAATAATATATTAATTAATTCTTCATTGTCAGTAATCGAATTATTTAATGGACATTAAATCTTAAACGTGGGGAGGTAAATCTGGTAATTATTGGAGTCTCAAATGTAATTTGGGCTAGGAAAAAGGAGTGCAATAATATTACGTTAGTGGACTGTAATATTATTTAAGTAATTGAAAGCGTGGGCCTGGCCTACAGTTAGTAAATTACTTAAGAAGCCATATTCCTAATCTCCTAAGGATCCCTACTGTAGTACTATACATCATTAAGCTCATGAGAAGAGATCCGTCAGATAATTATTCACGTGATACATGCCGCCCATCATACTCTCTCTCTCTAGATCTCATTCGAGCTTTATCTTCTTCTTGTTGCTCCACCGGTATGAATTGAAGAGGTGTGTGAGTAATTCAGTAGAAGATCGCGAAGGTAATCGAGACCCTGTGATCGTCTACCGAAATCAACGAATCTCAATCCGAAGGCCGAGATCCACTAACCCCAGCCCCGTCGGACCACCGTCGCGACCCGCCGTGAGAAGTCACGACGACCGGCGACCCAATCGCGACTGCCAGCCTCGCGCGACGCAATTCTGGTGATTCCACACGACCAGCCGACACGACCTGACAGATCGCACGCGACCTCGCCTCCCTTTCGTGTGATCAAGCTTTCGTTCGTGTGTTGTTCCTGGTTATCCCAAATCTATCAGATTCAGAAATTTTAAGCTGTAAGTTTTCTACATTAAACCTTTAGATCCGTTGCGCATAGGTTTATGTTTGCTATTGAATTTGTAATTTGTACATAACGAGATCCTCATGGATCCTAACACAATCATCCAATCCTCCTGCGCGGGAAGACATGCCTCGACACAAAATTGGGGCCGAACCGCGCAGCTAGAAACTTGTCGCCGTCGATGATCTCGGCAGCCCCGCTGGTGAAGGCAAATCGGAGCACAATTAGGATTAGGGCAGATAGAAGGAGAAGGGGGAAAGAATGAAGAGAGAGCATGTGACAATTTCTTTCATACACGGTACATGTGTAAACAAGGGTCATCCATAAATAAACATTTACACCTCACAATCCACAATCCATGTTTAAGAGCTATTAAGTATTGTTTTGAGGGGATACAAGGCGCTTTTAAAGATTTGGAGACATTCTTTAATATTCGAAGTAAGGTTTAGGTTTGTTCATGTTCAAAATTAAGGCATCCTTTCAGTCGAGCCTCAATTACATCGATCCTCTCTTGTCTAGAAGGGAAAAACTAAAAAGACAGTCAAATCTCAGAATTTAAGATCAATTCATTCAATATTTCCTTTGTTTGCGGTCGACGTTCTGGCTTTGTCCATCGACAGCTTTATCTTTCGACCTGATGCCCAAAGACAGAGAGAGTGTTGTCTATGCAAGTGTTGATGGTGACTCTAATATTTCGAACACCTATAGATCTGATTTCTCTTCTTTTTTTTTCCTGACAAAGATGAAGAGGTTTCGAAATCCATTTGAATATTAAAAGGCTTACCATATATAACATAAAATTTCTCCCCCGATTCCTTGTACCCACAATACCATGTGGTTCAACACAATTCAAGTTTATCAACTAATACTATGTTATAACATCAAATTTGTTGTAACAAATTTGGCACGTCAAGTCAGACGATATCTCCCTATAATCTTTTCTCTTCAAATCAAGATGATGATGTCTCATCATGACATGTTAAAAAACATCGATTGTATTTAATTCCTTTAAATAGGTGCATCCAAAAGCAGTTTTTTATTTCCTTCTGAAATTCCATGGGATAATTTATATGAAGAACTTCCATTAAATCACGTCATACAATGCTCTTTGAGACGAGCTTTAAATTGTTACAAAGCTCCTTGATATAAGCAAAACTCATCTCAAATTTCTCAAAGTAAATACTAAACGTTTCTTGATACGAGTCTAAACTATCTACAAATCTTTTTGGCTTCATCATAATATATTTACAAATTTAAGATCTTTTTGACACTAGCATAACATATCATAAAAATTAAATGTTTTGCGATATGAGCCTAAAATATCTACAAATTAGAAGAATCCTTGACACGATAGTAAAATGTTTATAAATCTAAGGCTTATTAATATGAGCCTAAACATTTTTCGTCCTGTTGCTTTGGCCTCGTGGCAATTTTAGTCCTGGGATCGAAGCAAATTCCTATTTAGTCCCGTAAAGTCTAAAGTCAACGCAATTTTAGTCCTTCTAGTGACCAAAAGTCAACATTGCGGTCGGATTTGTCACGTGGCCCGCACGTGACACCCTCGTGGCCGATCTCCTCTGACTTGGCCAGCTGGAACGCGGATGTGGCAACCAAATTAATTAAAAAATAAAGAAAAAAATACCAAAAATCCACGCGGGCATTAAAATACATATAAATAGGCAAGATTGGGAAAAACGGGATCAATTCTCACACACATTAGCCCCAAGTTCCCCAAATTTATCGTCCCCCCCAAGAACCCTAAATTCTCAAACCCAAACCAAGAACCTTAATCCCCAGATTTACAAAATTCGCACATAAATGTCGTCGAACTCATATGACAGGGATCATAGGTACTGCTATTGTGGTGAAAGGTCAGTCATTCGAACCTCTTGGACATCTAAAATCCCGGCCGCCGATTTCGTTCTTGCATTGAGTACGATGTAAGTGGATATTGTTTTCTAATTCTTTTCTGGTTCATTTTTTTTTTTGGCAAAATTGTTCCTATTTTTCTTTGTATGTAGGGAGAATGAATCCCAGGGTGTGATTTTTTCTCTTGGTTGATCCTCCTATGTGTAGAAGGTTCACAGAAATTATTCGTGGATTGTTGCAAAAATCAAATGTTTTGCGTGCTGAGAATGAAGAATTGCGAGAGGAAAACATTAGATTGGTTGAATGTAAGAAGAAGCTGGAGTTAGAGATCTCGGATTGGCAAAGGGAGTTGAAGTCCGCGGAAATGATTCCTGGATTGTTGCGAAAATCAAATGAGTTGCGTGCTTAGATAGAATAATTGCGAGAGGAAAACAATGCAAGAAGAAGCTGGAGTTAGAGATCTTGGATTGGCAAAGGGAGTTGAAGTCTGCTAAAAAGGCCAAATTTTGGTTGCTCATGGGGGTTGGGACTCTGTTTCTGTACATGTTCTTAAAGAACAATTGATCTGACCGAGTATGTGAAGATGAAAATGGTAGTGTTGGACTAGCTTTGTTATGTTTGAACTTCTTGTTTGTTATATGCTGTTAATGGGGGTTGTGACTATTTTTGAACAATTGTTTGAATTCACTTTTGTTGTAATGAAAGTATGTTATGTGTTATTGTATGTTGTGTGTTATTGAATGTTAATGGTTGTTGCTTTGTTGTTGAATGTTAGCAGGGTGTTTATGGCTGGCTGTTACTACTGAATGTTAAAGGTGTTTGAATTCACTTTTGCTTTGTTTATGGATGTTGAACAAATTGAATGTTAATGGTACATGAAAGTTCATACAAAAACCGCTGATAATTTCATAACCAAAAAACCATCCATTAACATACATTAACTTGAATGAACACATTAATTTCATAACTTCAATTACAATACATACATAAACCTGTTTTACACTGCCATAATCTAAATTTCACCATTACACATCCCAAGGCAAAAACCATCCAAAAACCATCATCCAAAACTATACAAAAACATCCAAAAACACCACAGTTTGAATGACCATCCAAAATCATCCCAAACCATCAAAACCATCAAAACACACCACAGTTTCAACAATTTCATTGACCATCAACAATTTCCAACAAATACAAACACTTTTAGTTTTCATCTCTTGATTGTATTGAACTCTGCAGCTGTTGGTAAGGGGTAGACTCGGGCTGATTGGCAACTCTAGGGATTTCAAACTCATCAATGAGTTCACACAATGACTGCAGCTCCTCATCTTCTTCTTCATGCCTTATCACTGGTGGAAAAAGTGTAGGATTCTGAAAAAATGATTGAATTAAAGTTAAAGAAATATGGTTAGAACAATTGGTTTCAAAAGTGAATTTGTTATAGACAAATGGATAATTAAATGAGTGTAATGAACACTTACTTGTGAGGATTGTTCTGTCCCAACTGTGGCCATCTCTGCCCTTTTCCTTTTACCTCTGTCAGCAGCAGATCTTGCTCTTTTTCTTTCAAGCTATATTCAAAGAAATGGATCAATTCAATCAGATAAAGTGAAATCACATAAACATAGAATAAAAATTAAGAAAACCTAACTTATAACATTTAATAGAAAACTTTTGTATCAAAAGCTCTTTTCAATGAAGAGTTGTCTACTTCTTGAGTTACTTAGACTTTGGTTTTGGCTTAGAGTGTTCATTTCTTTCTCCTTTCTTTTCTCACTAGACCTTGCATTGTGGCCAGCCATGCTATACTTTTTGCACCTCACAGTTGGCTGTTGCCTCTTCATTTTCATTGGTTGTTTCCTTCTTATCTTTTTCCCTTTCTTTTTAGGCTCTTCTTGATCTTTTCTTGTTGCCTTTGAAGGCCTGCCAGCACCCTTCCCAAAGTTGGGAGGTAAAGGAGGAACAAAAAGGTCTCCACAATGAAGGACCATTTGTGTCTAGTATTGACCCCCTATACACATTCCTATAACACTCTTGTGAATGACAACCATCTACAAAATCAACAGGAACCAGCTTCTGAGCTATTATGGCACTACATGCATGCTTACAAGGAATGCCACCCAAATCCCATACCCTACAACTGCAAATTTTCTTCTCAAAATCAACAGTAAATTGTGATCCATCATAACACTTAATCTGATAGTGCCTATCATCACATTTAATTGGCATGCATTCAGATACATGTGACAAGTGTTTCTGAATGATCAAGTTTATGTTAGGGCAAATTTTGTTCTTCCACTTCAACTCAGCCTTATCTCTTTTTTTCTGCATCTTAATGCATATATACTCTCTAATCCACTCAAGCATAGTGATAATAGGCTTTTCCCTTGCTTCAAGAATGTTGCAGTTAAATGTTTCACACACATTATTGAGCAACATGTCACACTTTGGTAGTTCAGAAAAAAAAAGCTCTTGACCATTGCTGTGGTGGTTTATCAGGAAACCAATCAAAAGCATCAGGACTCATCATTTTAATTTCAAGCATTCTTGTATTAAACTCACCAACAGTGGTTGCTTGTGCTGCTCTCCACACAGCATACTTATAGGTGCCTCACACAGAACCTGTGAGTAGCCCCAGGGAAGACAACATCAAAGGCTTTGATAAGCCCCTTCTGCTTATCAGAAATGAAGGTATACTGCTCAGGCCTAGAAATGCCTAAATCTTTCTTCAGAATTATGAGAAACCACTCCCATGTTTCAAAACACTCAGTCCCTACTACAGCAAAGGCAATGGGAAACAATGTGTTGTTTGGGTCTACACCTACTGCAGTCAAGAGTATCCCCCTATGTGGACCCTTTAAATGACAGCCATCTACACCCACAATTGGCCTACACCCATTCTTGAACCCCTTTCTAAGAGCATTAAAACAAACATAAAATTTGTTGAATCTCTCCTCACCATCAAACTTCTTAGTGGCAAGAACAACTGTTGACCCACGGTTTAAAGTTCTCAACTCCTCTGCATAATCCCACAATTGGGAATACTGATCATCAGGCTCTCCTTCAAGTTGTGCCAGGGCTCTTCTCTTAGCCCTATAGGTCTGATCCTTTGATAAATTAACATTAAGGTTGTTAATAATATCAAGTCTCCAGGCTTTAACATTTCTTTTAGGATCAGTTTGAAAATTGCTTAAGAATTTTTCACTTAGCCACTTTGATTTGATGTTTTTAACCTTAAAAGTTTCAGAGCAAGAGTGAACGGGGTTGTATTCCCTAATTTGAAAACTGGCTTGATCATTCATTTTCTGTCTTAAGGTTTCTATTGGTTTTAATTGAATGTGATTGGATGACTTTTCTAAATTCTCTTTTAGTTGCAAACACCATCCCAATATCAAACACATGATCCCACACTTGGTTAGAATTAAACACAGGAGGATCCACATCTTCATCATCACTACCCCTCAGTTCATCTAAATCATCAGGAACCTCAACCACATCATCATCACTATCAGTACTAGAATCACCATCTTCCATCCCCCCCAACTGGCCCCTGCATCCACATTCTCACTAAACAATGCATCATCATCTTCACTGCTACTATTTCTGAAATCATAATCACTATCAAGAAAATCATCCTCATCTTCTTGCCTCTCTAGTTCACTCTATTCATTTTCATTTTCTTCAACATTCTCACCAACAAAATTCCCACTCTCATGTTCAATATTTTCATTCTCACAATCACCACCCTTCCCACTCTCAGAACCATTGCCATTCCCACTCTCATTTTTGCTTTTTTCACTCTCAGAACCACTAAACATCCCACTCTAATTTTTAATTTTTTCACTCTCAGCACCACTACCATTCCCCCTCTCAGAACCACTCTCAGACTCACTCCCACTCTCAGAATCAGAGTCAAAATTAATCCATCCCCTATCTATGGACAAACTAGAAGGACTGGATGTACCTTCATTTTCAACATACAAAGTCATTTCTCTACAACCATATTTATAACATAAATCCCTTATTTGAATGTCTTCATCATCAAGCAGTGGCTTGAAACCCAAACCAATCAATAAGAAGTACTTCCTACTACCAACAAAATCAAATGGTGGAATTATTCAAGTACTTCCTACCACTCTAATTTTTATTTTTTTCACTCTCAGCACCACTACCATTCCCTCATTTTTGTCAGACATTTTCTTCAATGGTGGAATTATTCAAGGACCTCATATGGACAAAATCAAATGTCATTTTAGATCCTCCTTGATAACACACAAAACCTTCTGTTTGAAATGTTCAACCACACCACATAGTTACTGTAAACAACTTACCACTACGATGTATGGAGAACATACCCAAAAAACAAACAAACAAAAAACAAGACAAACAAACAAAAACAGAGAGTTTATCAGTATAAATAAATAAATAAATAGATAAAACACAAATACAAAAACAAAACAAAAAAACAGGGGTATCAGTGAAAAAGGCAAAATTGCATTAAACTCACCGTATGCAGGGATGTTTGCGTCCCAATATTCCTTTGACCTAATCCGTATGGACTTCACCATCTTTGCGTTCGTTTAATCAACCTTCTCACTCATCGGCCTTTATCTCCTTCTCACTCAATTGGCCTTTATCTCATCGTCGTCTCTCTGAAATTGAATTTCTCTTTGGAATCTTCTCTATGACATGAGTGTAGACAAATAAATCTTGAGCCAATAAAATGGCGACAGGTGTCAAATTCCATGTTATAATCAATTTAATAATTTTCTATTTTATTTGGGAAATTAATCAAATTTTAATTCCTAAATTAAATAGTTAATTAATTGATTATTTAATATATATTGTTGGCCAATTAAAGAATGCCACATGTATATTTCGAAGGCCAATTAAAGAATGCCACATGTCATTTTCTTGGAGAGTAAAATAAATAATTATTTCTTTTAATAATTATTAAAGAGATAAATAAGTGGAAATTCATGGACCAATCAAATTGAAGTCTTCTTTTCCAAGAGTCCATCTTCTAATTATCTCTTTAATAAATAAATATTGGAAATTATGGACCAATCAAATTGAAGTCTTCTTTTCCAAGACTCTCTCTCCTAACACTTATAAATAGGGACCCTCCCTAAGGTGAAAAATAACAATTCATATTCATAATTCAAGTTCCAAGTTCAAGAGCTCTAGAGAATTCTCTCAACGAGATTCAAGTGTTCTTGAAGATCCGAAGGCGTTCATGAACATCCGAAGGAATATTCAAGCGCATTCAAGCTCAAAACCGACGTTCAATCCGGAAACAAGCTGCCAAGCCTCCGAATTGCATTATTAAAGTCAATACCGGCGTAGAGAAGATCAAAATCAAACTTTGCGGCAAAGACCAAGGCTCGTTTTCTTCACGTTCTTGGTAAATCACGACGTTCGATTCGAGATCAAGCTGTCAAGCCCTCAAAGAAACGTTATTTAAACTCATATTCAAGACCGGCGGAGATCAAACTGAAGATTCGTCTCCAAAAGTCTCTTATCCATTTGAAGATTGTTCTTGAAGAAATTAATCAGAGGAATAATAGAGATTTAGAATCCACTATATTTCATTTTGATCCGTTGAAATTCATTTGTACGAAGTTCTCGTGTTTATAAATTCAAGAAAACGAATTTGCGTTACAAATTTCTGGCACGCCCAGTGGGATAATCTCTACCTCTCATCTCTTTTCTTCAAGATATCTAAGTGCAACGATGAATCCTCCCAAGTCAACTTCTTCAAGTTCTGCAAGTGAAAGTGTTGGTGTCACAACAAGAAGCATGGCAAAAAGGAAGAGTGTATCTCTAGAAGTAAATTCTCACCAAGTTGAGGGAAACATGTCGCCTTTGAACCAAGAAGAAGATTTTAAGAGACGATGTTTCATCAACAACTTTCTCAATGGAGGCACTTGTTATGATGACGAACGCATCAACCATTGAAGAGCAACTTGCAACCATGGCGAAAACAATGGAGGCATTGATGAAACATGTCCAAGATCAAGACTCCATGATCTCAAAGTTGGTAGAAAAGGTCGACAAGGCTGAGACTAGCCGTGTTGGGGGCAAGCACGATGAAACACATGAGGATGAAGAAACTTCTAAAGAAGATGGGGTGAAGCAAACTGAAAAAGAGAAGACTACGTCAGAAATCCATGTTTCTGCAAGTGGACTCATACCAACTGACCAACTCAAAGAGTTCATCATGGGAACCATCAAGGACACATTTGATGTAGGCTCCAAGTCGTCTTTAACTTATTCGAAGCCATACACTCAAAGGATTGATAGCTTGAAGATGCCTACTGGATATCAACCGCCAAAATTCCAACAGTTTGATGGTAAAGGAAACCCGAAGCAGCACATAGCTCACTTCATTGAGACTTGCAATGATGCTGGAACATATGGAGATCGTCTGGTGAAGCAGTTTGTTCAATCACTGAAGGAAAATGCAATCGAGTGGTACACCGAGTTGGACCAAATTCTATTGATAGCTGGGAGCAACTAGAGCAAGAGTTTCTCAATCGTTTCTATAGCACACGAAGGACGGTCAACATGATTGAGCTCACTTCTACAAAGCAGTGGGATGAAGAGCCTGTTATTGACTACATCAACCGTTGGAGAAATCTAAGCCTCAATTGCAAGGATCGATTGTCCGAAGCTTCTGCTATTGAAATGTACTCAAGGGATGCATTGGGGTCTCCGATACATTCTGCAAGAAATTCAACCAAAGTCTTTTGAAGAGTTGGCCACTCGCGCACATGATATGGAGTTAAGCATGTCTGCAAGCGGAGTCAATAATCCACCTGTCCATGAGCCTCAAAGATTCAAGGACCGAAATGAAGCCAAGAAAGGGGGCAAGTTTTTCTCTAAAGCACCTAACAAAGAGGTGAAGGAAGCAATGGCGGTCAATGCAAGACCCATCAAACTCAAGGGAAACACAAGTGAAAAAGTTGTGGAAAAGAAAGAAGTCCCTCAAGACAGGGGGCAAAGAAAGTTAACCTTGAAGGAGATGCAAGACAAACAATACCCTTTCCTTGACTCTGATGTTTCTGGAATTTTTGACGACTTGATTCGGGAACAACTTATCGAACTGCCGGAGATGAAACAACCTGAAGAAGCGGGAAAAGTTGACAATCCAAAATACTGTAAGTATCATCGTTTGGAGAGTCATTCCATCCAAGATTGTTTCGTCTTCAAAGATAGAGTTATGCAGTTGGCACGACAAGGCAAGATATCGCTTGAAGAAGACAAAGGCACTGCAAACTTTGCTTCATAGTGAACTGCGAGGAAGGATATGAAAGTTTCTCATGTAATGTGACAAGCGAGCAAGATGATGTCCCAAGTGATGATGAGTCAACTGATGACAAAGAACGATGTGATCATGAAGACAATGATGCGGCAGTCACCTTCACGGATGAAGACTTGATGTTGGGCTCAAAACCCCATAATAGGCCTTTATTCGTAACTGGTTATACTCGTGAGAAAAAGGTGAATCGCATATTGATAGATGGAGGTTCTGCAGTGAACATTTTATCTCTACGCACTCTAAAAGAACTGGAAGTCTCGATGGACGAGCTCTCAAATATCTGTTTGATGATTCAAGGCTTAACCAAGGGGGGCAACGAGCTCTTGGCATAATTAGATTGAAGTTAGTAATCGGGGAGATGGCTTCAAATGCTCTTTTCCATGTGATAAATGCTAAAACCTCCTATAACAAGTTGTTGGGACGTCCTTGGTTGCATGAATATGGAGTTGTGCCTTCTACCTGGCATCAATGTTTTAAATACTACCAAGATGGTGTAGTAAGAAAAGTTCTTGGAGATGATAAGCCTTTTACTGAAGTCGAGTCTTATTTCGCCGACGCCAAGTACTATTTTGAAGATACCAAGTCTGCTCGCAATAAAGAAACTCCCATCAAACAGCAAAGTGATGCCAAAGAGAAGAAAGCCAATAACCTCGTTGGCAACGACCCTCTTGATGGACTGGTGTTGCCGTTACCTAACCTCGATGCCAAGAAACCAACCACGCAACCCCTGGGAAAGTTTGTCCGCCTAATTGAAGGAGCTAAGATGGGACACGGAGGGGAGCTTCAAAACTCTAAGTATTACGACCCAAAAGCTTACAAACTTCTTGTCAAATCTGGATACGATCCAAAAGAAGTGAGTACTTTGGTAACACTTCTTCCCCAAGCAGCAAAAACCCAAAAGAAGGATGCTGGAGTTTCAAAAACTAGAGTTGGTCTCGGATTTGTAACACCAAATCCAGTTCGGTAGCTATAAAACGAGTCAACTCTAATCATGTGTCCGAAGAAGGATTCTCATCCACTGATCATTTGAAGTATGGAGAAAGAATATCGGTATTTGAAAGGCTCGAACCCATTCAAGAGTTAGAGTCCAAAAGAACTAGTCATCAAAGACTTGGTATTCAAAGGATGGTAAGAAACGGGAAGATAGAAAGAAAGTTCCCCAAGATTCGAAGCTCGATACCATCCCGAATGAAGAGACAAACCACATTGATTGTTTCATGTGGTAATGTCTTGAAGGAGAAAATGCGAACGATCGTGCACACGAGAGTAAGAGAAGAAAGTGATGGAGAAAGCGTCGCCTCATCTAATCAAGTGAGTAGTCTTGTCCCAAGAGAAAATCCTCGAAGTGCTGAAGGCATCTTGCATCGAAGAATCGCCACATTGGTGAGAAAAGGGTGTATTAACAAAGACAATTTGCGTTTGGTTCGTGTCGTTAGAAGAGACGGACGAGTTAGAACATGTGTTGATTTCAAGAGTCTTGACGACCCTGCTGAAGATGTTGCATATGTAAACCATATCACCATATGTGAAGATGCCCAAGAAAATGAAGAAGACGCGGAGGATGCCCCTGCTGAGCTTGAAGAAGGAGTTAAGGCTACGGTTGATGAGTTGAAAGACATCAACTTAGGAGACGTGGATGATTCTCGACCAACTTATATCAGCGCACTTTTGACTAGCGATGAGGAAGAGACTTATATTGAGCTGCTTCGTGAATATAAAGATGTCTTTGCTTGGTCGTACAAGAAAATGCCTGGGTTAGATCCAAGAGTAGCAGTGCACAATTTGTCCGTGAGAAAGGGGGAACGGCCTGTTAAGCAAGCTCAACGGCATTTCTGGCCCGATTTGGTTTCATTGATTGAAGTTGAAGTGAACAAGCTCATCGAGGTCGGGTTCATTCGAGAAGTCAAGTATCCCACATGGATCTCAAGCATCGTTCCTGTGAGAAAGAAGAATGGCCAAGTTAGAGTTTGCGTTAACTTTCGAGATCTAAATGAAGCATGCCCAAAAGATGATTTTCCATTGCCCATTACTGAACTCATGATTGACGCCACTACGGGCCACGAAGCGTTGTCTTTCATGGATGGGTCGTCTGGGTACAACCAAATACGCATGTCGCCAATAGATGAAGAATTGACTGCATTCCGTACGCCAAAAGTGATATACTGTTAGAAGGTGATGCCATTTGTCTTGAAAAATGCTGGAGCTACATACCAACGGGATATGCAAAGGATTTTTGATGATATGCTT